CGGAAGAGCAAGTTGTACGGGGCCGTGGCTGAACAGCTGCAAGAGTGTGGCTTCCTCCGGACACCGGAACAGTGCCGGACCAAGTTCAAAAGCCTTCAGAAGAGTTACCGCAAAGTGAAAAATGGTCACGTGCTAGAGTCCTGTGCATTCTACAAGGAGATGGATGCCCTGATTAACTCTCGGGCATCTGCCCCTCCCACTAGCACCCCAGAGGAAGCCCCGTCACCCTCAATTCAAGAAAGAGAGGACATTGAGATTGAACCCCAGGAACCTACATGCTGGGAACCTGAGGAGGACTCACAGGAGGCAATAGTTGAAGATTCCAGCAGTGAGAGACTGAGTGAGGAGGAAATTGTGCCAGAGCCAGAATTCCAGGGACCTCCAGGTTTACTGCAAAGCCCGAGTGGTAAGGATCATGAGGGGCTGTGGTCTAAAGAAGAAGGAAGTGGGATTTACTGACAGATCAGAAGAGCTGGCACATCGCTCATGAAGGTCTATTCATTAAGCAGATATTCGTGTGTCCTGTGCCATTTGAGGAAAAGGGGGAGGTATCGATGAATAAAACAGAGTCCCTGTTCTTATGGTGCTTCTGTTCAAGGGAGGAACTTGGATTCTCGTGATTTGGTTTTGGGGATCTCAGCCTCGGTTTTGGTGTGTATGGGGCAGATAATGTTTAATATCTCCTAGAAATATTGTGGGGAAGAAGAACTTGGAATTAAACGTGAGAAAAACTCAGATCAAGGAGGTGTGTCAGTAAGCTCAAAACAGAAATGTCTCAGTTATGTGTGATGTGCATGAGAAAAAGGATAGGCAGAGAGAAAAAGACTTTATTCTGGTACTGCGCTCCACCTGCGGGTTTCCCGCTGACTGCTGGATGCCCTCACAGGCATCTCACCAGCACTCTGGACTTAAAATTTTCAAAATTAAAATCAGCATCTTCCTTCCCACACTATGGCTCTTCCCTGTGTCCTCCCACAGGTCATCCAGACTTAAAAGGTAGAGATTTTTTTGATGCCTTCTCTCTCATTGTTTACATCCAGGCAGATGATATGTTTTTTCAGCTGTTGTAGAACTCCCATCCGCCCCCCTCTTTAGTTACCATAACCATTACCCTAGTTTAGCGTTTCTCTGTCTCTTGCCTAAACTATTGTAAAAGTCTCCAAACCAGTTTTCTCCATTAGACTTGTATTAAGATTCCACAACCATCCTTAATCTGAGTTTGTCTTTCTAACCTAAACTTCCTGTACTCTATGCTTATTCAAAACAAACAACAGAAAAGGAAGTTCACACATATGCTCTCTGGTAGTATTTATACAGGAATTTGTTTTTGTATGGGAATGAAAGCTGAAATTATTAACCCTGTAACTGGAACTGTTAAAGTTGATAACTTTGGAAACAAAGTCCTTCTCTTGTGAATCTTGTTTTTTAAGGTGAGCTCCAGATCTGTCATCAAATTATCAGGCTCTGTCTGAGGCAACTACTAGGCTGTAACTTCCTCCAAATCCCAGAACAATGTTGGACCCAATCAGAGTGCTTCAGAAGATGACATTGTTAGGGCTTTTGACCTAAGTCAGGGGATTCATTGATGGCTGCCCTCCTCTTCCAGCCCAGGACACAGCCACCCCACTTAGGACTGAGGGATGTTGGCAGTTTCAGCTCAATATGTGGAGGGAAAGTAACGCTGAAATTAGCAAGTAGAAAAAAGACAGTACAGCAAAATGCATAAGAAGGGTTTGAGAATCAAGCAAACCTGGATTGGGCCTAAGTTACACAGTTTGTGAACTATTTATGGATCAAATAATACGATGTCTGAATTTACTTCAAAATAATCTGGGTAGAGGGAGCAGAGAGTGTGTGGGAATAGAGATGAAACAAGATTGGCCAGGAGTAGATCATTGGGTAAGTGGTTCATGGAAGTTCAGTTTATGTACTGTTCTCTACTTTTGTGTTTAAGTTTTCCATAATAAAAAGTTAATACAAAAACCACACAGTTAATAAGTGACCAGGATGGAATCATAACCAGAGCTGTCTGATTCCAAAGCCTGTGTCTTCACTACATCATGCTCTCTGTTCAGAAAACTTCTCGGCAAAGCTGGGATCCAAGATGTACTGTGGGATGCAGATGAAAGAGTGAGGAGAAGATAATTCTGGTTTGTCGAGCAGTGAGAATTAAGATTTGAGTTAGTGTGGTCTGCGTGTGAGACTGCCAGAAAAACAAAGTGACAGCAACATTTGAGAAGAAAGAAATACTCTTGGATAGAGTATGACTAGAGGTTGATGAGCTTAGAAGTCCATTGAGGAATTTGGACTTGATCATTAGAATCTAACCACTAATGAAGTGTAGTGTACTTTCATTATAGATGAGAAATTTTGAAAGCAGGATGAATTGTAGTGGAATTTCAGGGAGATGAACTAAGTTGCTCCCATGTTAATCAGGATACAGATTGGGGATAATGGCTTGGATTATAATTAAACTCTGAAAACATTTCCAAAGGCCTACTTTGTGCTGGGTATTATTGGCTATTCGTGGAACTGAAAGCAAATAAGGCTCAGTGAATCAGAAAGAGTCCCCACGCCTGAGGCCAGTGAAGCACACAGGGGTCCTAACAGACAAGGCCTGTAGGCCATGTTGTTTATGTTGATACATGACTGGTCTGAAATGTTTATTGTCTTTTTTTTTCAGATTTTGAAATTGGAAGTGGTATCAAGGAGGATGCAACACAGGTAATATATAAGGACATGGAGCAGCACAGGGCGTTAATACAAAAGCCTAAAAGGGCTGTTTCTCAGAATGCTGATCCAGGTAAATATTGTAAAAGGGAATGCATCGCAGGAAGACAATGCGAAAACCTTCAAGGAGTCAGACAGGGAAAACTGATGTCTCAGCCTAGAGATTTAGGGAAAGCTGTCGTGCATCAGAGGCCTTTCATGGGGAAAAGGCCCTACCGACTTCTCAAATATGGAGAAAGCATTGGAAGGAGTGCTCGCCTCATGTGCCGGATGACCCACCAGAAGGAAAATCCTTATAAGTGTAGTGTCTGTGGGAAGTGCTTTGGTAGAAGCAGGAGTCTAATCAGACACCAAAGAATCCACACAGGAGAAAAACCTTTTAAATGTCTTGACTGCGGGAAAAGCTTTAACGACTCCTCAAACTTCGGTGCCCACCAGAGAATCCACACAGGAGAGAAGCCCTACAGATGTGGAGAGTGTGGAAAATGCTTCAGTCAGAGCTCGAGTCTCATAATACATCAGAGAACCCACACTGGAGAGAAGCCCTACCAGTGTGGAGAGTGTGGGAGAAGCTTTACCAACAGTTCTCATTTCAGTGCCCACAGGAGAGTCCACACTGGTGAGAATCCCTACAAATGTGTGGATTGTGAGAAGAGTTTCAATAACTGTACGAGATTTCGAGAACATCGGCGAGTACACACCGGGGAGAAGCCCTACGGGTGCGTGCAGTGTGGCAAACGTTTCAGTAAGAGTTCTGTTCTCACTAAACATCGGGAGGTTCATGTGAGAGAAAAGCTTCTCCCATACCCTCCAGCGCTCTATGCCCCAGAGAACCCACACAAGGGAAAGACTGATGAATTCAGGCAAACAGTTTGATGACGATCTCTTCTCTTCCTAAATGTCCCCTTAGCCATTTTACCCTAATCTCACTCTTGGAAGCAATCTTTTCTTAGCTATAAAGTGTAATTCCCAAGATAAGGTTGAGAATATAAATAAAGACTTGGATCCTGTCCTCACCTCTGCCTCTAACTTGATCAGTCAGTCTGTTCCTCTCCTTCTGTGTGTCTCAACTTTTCCTGTAATAAAGTGAAGAAGATACAGTGTCTGAGTGCACAATGGAATTCTCTTGAGTATGTCGAGGCCACTGCCATGGGATTGCCAAACCCAGCAACATCTAAGATCCTTCAGTGTATGGGAGAGTTGTTATCAAGGAGATAAAAAATGCTCAACGTTTTTTCATTCTCTGTCTACCACATGCGATCCCATGCGATGCAACTTGATCACAGAGTTTCCTGTTTGGGTAGAACTTTCAGGAGCCTGATGAGAACCACATCAGATCCATCTTGGTTTTGAAGATATTCACAAAAGGAGATTGAAGATTTTATAGTTTCCATCAGAAGTCTGTTGCAGTGTACCTTTTTTGTGTCAAGAAGTTGATCTAAATAGCTAAGGTAGAATCCTTGTATTGTCACTGAAATAATGCCTTGCCCTCCACAGAGATGAGAAGCAACTGATCACCCATCGCCCTTTGTAGACTAACCTTTTCTGTACCTGAAGACTGAGAGCCCCTCGGCTGCTGTTTCTCCAGCCTATAAGTAATCCAGTTCCTGTTACTGTTTCTCCGAAGTCCTACGCTTACCTCTTAATTGTTCTGGGTGCCCTTGTCTGACTCTTCTGCACTACCATGCCCTCCTCAGATTGAATAGCGTGCATGCTCATGGTGTGTCTCATTAAAGTAGAATTTCAGACACATTCTAGTTCTGAATGTGTGACTTCTCTGGTTTTTATCTAGAATATGACTGATAATGTTGGCATATTTTATGCCTCCCAACCCCACGCTTCAGTATAATATTGTATAATTTTAGATAGTTTTCTAAAACTCTAAGGAGATAGGGAAGGAAGTGAGGTAGAGACCTGCAACATTCAATATTTATAAGATCAGTTGGACTCCGTAGACCTGCTTTAGATCAGATGGCCACCTTGGTCCAGACCAGCACTCCAGAGCTGCTTGTTAAGTTTACCATTCTCTTTTCTGAGGCTTCTAGTCCCTGTTCATGTGGTCATAAACCTCTCTGTAGAACCCTGAGTAATTTATACAACTCTATACCTCAATGAGTGAAGGTGGAAATATTTACTGAAACTTCCAGTCCAGAACACTTTTCGTTTTCCACATTTACCAGTTGGTCTAAAAGATGTCTTTGACAACCCCCAGCACTGGCCCGATAAATACTGAAGGAAGGGTTCAGATGGGGAGATAGTTCACTTATGGACATTGCAAACCAGGGATTTGGTCATCCAAAGCTGTTAACTCCGGGATGAGACCAGTGGCATTCATACCCTTAAGATGAAGGTAACCTCGGGGGGCTTTGCTTTGGGGAGGGAGAAGTCATAAGTTTAGTGGAAAGATAACCAGAGTCGGGGCTGTAGATAATTTTTTTGATCTTATCTCCTTTCCTTTGTCAGATGCTCTCTTATTTGAAGACATCTGAGTGTGTTTGAATCTTCTGAAACTTGTTCAGCAAAGTACCGAGGAGGGTAGGCAGCGTAGAAAGAAATCCAACTTACGGTGCCAGAATCGGGTGTGGCCTGTTGGAAGGCAGGTGACTCAGGTAAACGTTGATAAATGTTTCGTACATTTGTTAGGAATGTTAGGATTGTTCACATCTCAGTAGGTTGATTTCCTCTGTGTTGTCTGAATTATAGACTTCTAATGGTAAGTGCAGTTTCTTGTTGGTAGTGTGCCTAGCACAGTGAGGTGTGTGTGGTGCCAGTGGGCGTGTGCTTGTATTGTGTCGATGTTCTGGAATTCTAACTCTAAAGACGACGCACATTAATAGAAATCACCACTTAGTAATAGGTACGCAGGATTGATCATTATATCGAAGCATGATTCAGGAAAGTACATGATTTACTCATAAATATTTATTAAGCACTGTTATGTGTAAGGCTGTGTTTTAGGCACAGTGAGGGATATGAAAATGAAAAAAGGCATCGTGTCTGTGCTCAAGGAACTTGCAATATGATGGAAGAAGTATTGCAGCAAAAGGTAATGTCAATTATGTTCATGTCAATTACGGAACATAATTAGTTTATTAATGAAAAAATCACCTTCACTTGCAAAAAGAGTTTTTTTAATTGCCTAAAATCATATTCTCTACCTCTGTCGCTTCAGTTTCCCCAGTGGCAGGAAAGGCTCAAGAACCACTCCTCCTCCAGTGGAATAAACTGATTCTGTCTGTCATATGTCTGGGATCAAGCTAAGGTGAAATTTGGGTTCCCTTACCGTTTCCCAGTTGTAAGTGGACTATTTGAACTTGTACTAAATTAACTTACTGGACTTTGCTTCTGAAGAAATAGAAAGTCCTACCCACCATCTTAGACCAAAGGCAGTTTGTATTTTATCTTTTTTAAGGTGGAGCATGAAAGTCACAATGAACAGTCATACTCTGATTACTGTGTCTCATTTCACATAAATTGCCTTTATGAAGATCCGTAGGAGAAAGTTTCTTCCCAGGTCTCAGTACCAGAGAAAGCTCTGATCCTAAAGCAAAAAAAAAAATTTTTACCTTACAAACACTGATTTTTTTTTTTTTTTAACAACTTACGGCTTTTCTCTCTTCTGGCTGCTGGAACAAAGAAACTTACAAAAACAGCTTACAACTCACCTCAGCCAACTACTTAAATCTATATTTATCTAATACTGTATTTTTTTCTTTAAAAATTACCCCAAATCCTATTTTTTTAAAGTGGTGCAAACAAGTAGGCATTTTATTCTCTGACCTTTTACCCGAGGCACTTTGGAACCTGGTTGTATCCCTGCACAGGCTTATTTTGTTACTTCCACAAATGCCATGATTCTTACTGGCATTTTTATTATACACATACAGCCTACTTTATTCATCTGGAAGGAAACCTTAGTTTTTTTAAAGAGGAAAACTTCACAACATGCTTAAACAGTTCAGGGCAGCCTGCACGTAGAATGAGCGTTAGACCAGAAGCCAAAAGACAAGTTTCATTCTTGTCGCTACCACTTTCTGAGTGTTGCTGGACAAATCAGCCTCTCTTTGGGCCTGATGTCCTTATCTGAAGAGAAGTTGAGCATGATTGCCAAGACCGCTCTGGCTCTGATGTTTTGTGAGGCTATGGGGCATCACGTAGAGAGGAAAAGGTTATAAGACCAGGCCACTGCCCTGGCTCGCCACCACAGGCAGCATTTCGGGCCACAATGAATCCACCCCATAGTTTAGCAAGAGGATGCTGTGAGCAGTCCAGGAGCTTGCTCAGTGAGGAGAAAGGTCAAATCACTCATGTTCAACCGCAGGCAGCCCCTGAGTCACCTGGATAGGCAGTGGCAGGTAGCTGCAGTGGAGAAAGCCTATTTTGGGAGCTCTGGTGCCCAGTGACAGACACGATTCAACTCTGAGGGAGCTGGGGAAGCCCCAAATGCAAGGAGCGTCTGAGTGACTTGTGTAGTGATAAGCCTTTACCTCTGAATGCATTCCAAGTATAAATGTATGTCTACTTATTGTTTTGTATTAATGTTCACTTAGATGTCTTCTTGAAAACTTGTATGTGAAATAAATGTCTAAAATAAATGACTCCCGTTGGTTTTTGCCATAATTTGAAGGCTGTCTTCTATCAAGGAAAAAGAGAACTTATCCAAGGGATAATAAAAGCTGATCCTCGTAGCTCAAGAGAATTTCAGTTTCTTTCCAGCCCACTGTTCTCCCCGCAGCTAGCAGGGATCTCTTGGGAGTCCACAGCTATTCCTGTGCTGCAGTCCTCTGATAGTTGTCACTGCCATTGTCCCAGAAAATGTTTGTCTCTAATTCTAGAGTGGAGTTAGTCTTGGAGGCACACACTACGTGTGTTCTTGGAGGGGCACTCAACCACAGCCTCTGCTGCTGGAACAAGTTTTGACATGATTTCCCCAGATACGGTGGTGCCTTTGGTTTACTATTTGATTTAAAGAGTCCCAGTGGCTTCCACTTAGCCCTTCTTCCCATAACAACTCCAACTCCATGGGTCATAGAGTCAGCGTAGAGATTTTGTCACTTGCCGAGGATGTATTTCCAACTATACACTTAGAAACTGTAAGAAGAACCAATAGGATGGATTTAGAGCCAGTTCACCTAGACATGAGGTACATTCCAGACAAAGTGTATCTCTCACCTGGACTTTATAAGCAGCCAACTGCAATAGCACCCAAGGTTCTCAAGAATTATAACTGCTCAGGGTCAGTATCTGAGAGTCCCTCTACATCTTCTATATCTTCCTTGAGTAAATGGCCACAACCTTTTTAGAGGAAACAGAGACAAAGGCTCAGAACAGGGAGTTCCCTGCTGGTCCAGTGGTTAAGAATCTGTCTTGCAATGCAGGGGATGCCGGTTTGATCCCTGGTCAGAGAACCAAGATCCCACATGCCACAGGGTTACTCAGCCCACGTGCCACAACTAGAGAGAAGCCCGCGCAGCGCAATGAAAGATCTTGTGTGCCACAACTAAGACTGAATGCAGCTAAAAACTAAATAAATATTAAAAAGAAAAAACTGGCTCAGAATATTCATGTGCGTTGTTACATCAGAATCCTTCCACAAGATTACCTGATCTTCCATTCCTTTATAGAGATTTAAGTCTGTGCACTGACTCACGTCTGGGAGTTAGATGAGAGACTTTAAATCTCTAAGGGGAAAAAAACTCTCTAAGGCTACAAATTTTCAATTCCTATAAACCAGTTAAGGCAATTAGATTTTTAGGGAGGAGAATGAATGCTTTGTGTTTCAAACACCAAAAGGAACAAAGCTAGTCACAACCTCCAAACACCATGGTGGGTCCAGGGACTCAGAGCGGAAGCAATGGTTTTGGGTCCCAAGAGAG